GTGTGTGTGTGTGTGTGTGTGTGTGTGTGTGTGTGTGTGTGTCGCAGGCATATCATGACCCGATGCTGAAGCTGTCCATCATGACTGAACAAGAACTGAACCAGATCTTTGGGACTCTGGAGTCTCTGATCCCGCTGCATGAAGGTGAAGCTCCTCTGAATGTTTGGACCTTCTCCCGCTGACACTAAAACTCCTAACAGAACTTCCTGTGGTCCTCAGACCTGCTGGGTCGGCTCAGGGACGCCCGAAAACCGGACGGGTCCACCGAACACGTGGGTCACATCCTGGCGGACTGGGTGAGGCTCGTTTCTTTCGCACCACAGAAGCTGTCAGGAGGTCGGTTCTGATCCGGCGTTTTGTCCCCGCAGCTGCCCTGCCTCTCCTCCTACACGCCGTACTGCAGCAACCAGGTGCAGGCCAAGGCCCTGCTGGACCAGAAGAAGCAGGACCGGCGGGTCCAGGACTTCCTGCAGCGCTGCCTCCAGTCGCCGTTCAGCAGGAAGTTGGACCTGTGGAACTTCCTGGACATCCCGCGCAGTCGGCTGGTGAAATACCCGCTGCTGCTCCGAGAGATCCTGAAGCACACGGCTAACGACCACCCGGACCGGCAGCACCTGGAGGAGGCAGTGAGCAAAACAAACGCCCCACCTGCCCTAACCCCTGAACTTAAAATGAGCAAAACTGCATAGAGTCTAATATTAGCTAACTGTACCTGATGGCTAAATGGCTAAAGCGAGTGAAACAGTAGCTAAAAGCTAAAAAAAAAGGCAGAGGTGTAGCTAAAATATATATATATTAGGTTTAAAATAAGAAAACATAGCTGCAGTTAAAGGCTTAATAGTTAGCTTTAAGGCTATATTTACCAAATCTAATTAAGAACTAAAAATGACTAAATTATAGCTAAAGTTAGTAAAATATTAGCTAAAATTAACAAGCCAAAAATAATTAGGGAAGCTGCAGCTGTAGCTAGCTTATAATTATAAATAACTGTAGCTAAACACTAATATTACCTACACTGTACCTAAAACTGAGCTCAGCCAAAAGATCATTTTTGTTAAATCATAGTTAACTGCTAGAATTATCAGTAACTGTAGCTAAAGGCCAAAATTATCCAAACTGTAGCTTAATACCAATATAAACGACACTGTCCCTAGAAGTTAAAATTTGAAAAAAACCAAAGGCTTATATTTGCTAAATTTTAATTAAAAGCTAAAATTAGCAAAATTATGGCTAATAGTTACAATTTGTAAAATAGTAGCTAAAACTAAAATTGGCAAAATTGTAGCTAAAAGAATTAGCTAAAGTGGTTAAAGGCTTCAAATTAGCTCAACTGTAACTAAAAGCTAAAATTTACCAAATCATAGTTAACAGCTAGAATTATCAATAACTGTAGCTAAAGGCCAAAGATTAGCTAAATTGTAGCTTCAGGCTAATATTAGTTAAACTGTACCTAAAACTTAAAATTAGCAAACACTGTAGCTAAAGGCTAGCATTAGCAAAATAGCAGAGAGGGATAAAAGCTACACAGGACCCTTCTCCGGATGGTTCTGATCCAGTCTGACCCGTCTCCTGATGGTTCTGATCCAGTCTGACCCGTCTCTTGATGGTTCTGATCCAGTCTGACCCGTCTCTTGATGGTTCTGATCCAGTCTGATCCATCTCCTGATGTTTCTGATCCAGTTGGACCCGTCTCCTGATGGTTCTGATCCAGTCTGACTCATCTCTTGATGGTTCTGACCTGTCTCCTGATGGTTCTGATCCAGTCTGACCTTTCTCTTGATGGTTCTGATCCAGTCTGACCCATCTCCTGATGGTTCTGATCCAGATGGACTCGTCTCTTGATGGTTCTGATCCAGATGGACTCATCTCTTGATGGTTCTGACCCATCTCCTGATGGTTCTGATCCAGTCTGACCCATCTCCTGATGGTTCTGATCCAGTCTGACCAGTCTCTTGATGGTTCTGATCCAGTTCTGGTTCTGTGGCTCCACAGATGCTGATATTTCTGATCCAGTTCTGGTTCTGTGGCTCCACAGATGCTGATATTTCTGATCCAGTTCTGGTTCTGTGGCTCCACAGATGCTGATGGTTCAGAGCGTGGTGGGGGACATCAACAGGCAGACCGGGGAGTCTGAGTGTCAGTACTACAAGGATCGCCTGCTGTACTCCGAGGAGGGCCAGAGGGACCAGCTCATAGACCGGTCCAAGACCCTCAGCTGCCACGGGGAGCTGAAGAACCACCGAGGACTCGTCAGTAGACTGCTTCTCCTTCATCCTCCTCATCTTCATCTGTACACACTAAAGAAAATCTAACATTTGTCTGCCTTCCCCGCAGAAACTGCACGTATTTCTGTTCCAGGATGTCCTGGTCCTCACCAGGTCCATGTCTCCCAACAACCAGCCGGTCTGCTTCCAGCTCTGCCGCCAGCCCATCCCCATCCGCCAGCTGGACCTGGAGGACCTGTCAGACGGCGAGATGAGAGTGGGCGGGTCTATCAGAGGGGCCTTCAGCAACACGGAGCGAAGTCCGTCCCGCCCAAGTGTTTGGTTCTGATGTTTGGGGTCAGATCATTTACTGGTACTGACCTCCGGCCTTTTCTCTCCTCGCAGCTAAAAACTTCTTCCGGGTTTCGTTCCGCGCCGGAGGACAGCTGCAGAGCCACTGCTTCCAGGCCAGCGACGCCTTCAACAAACAGCAGTGGATCAACTGCATCAGGCAGGCCAAGGAGGCAGCAGAACTCACCGGAGACCCGGAGAGGGGACGGGGTCCGGAGGCGGGTCTGGGAGTACAGATGGAGCCCGAGACGGATCCGGGTTCGATTAAAGATCCTGAGCTTGAGATGGATGCGTGTCCGGGTTTGCGAGGAGAGGATTTTGGGGAGTTTAGGGAGGGTTTAGCGGGTGTGCGGGGGGAGGCAGGTACATGTACTGTGGGGTCCTCGGACCTGGACGGACTGTCCGCGATGGACAGCGAGACAGAGCTGGCTGTGGAGGCGGGGCTTGAGCGAGAACGTGCTGCAGACTGCGAGATGGACGATAACGATGTCCCCTGCTCCGCCTCCTCGTCGGCCTTTTCCGAACGAGGGGAGGAGGAGGTGATGGAGGAGGAGGAGGAACGGTGTTGACACCGGAACCAAAACCTGAACCTGCGGAACTGACAGAAACAGAAAAGAACAAAAATATTATCTTTTTATGACCAAAACATTCCAGTAGATTTGATCTAAACACCACTGGTATACGGCAGGCAGTTTGTGTATTTATTTGATCTCCTTGCCATTTAGCATTATTTTCACCCTCTACTTAATTCAGAAAACACCCTGTAGAGCTTTTCTCGCAAACCACTAGTTTTACTGGACCACTGGAACAAACTCGTTGTCTATGGCAAGCTGTTTGTGTATTTATTTGATTTTTTTAAAGGCCATTTTTGCACACTAGTTTACGACTACACTGCGCTATTTGCACATTTGGTCTAACTAGTAGAACAAAAACAACTAATATTTGAATGTTTTTGCTCTAGTTGGAACAGAAGTCATGCTAGTTACAATTTTGTCGCCGCAGAGTATTAATTAGTCATTTTTTAACCCACCAGTGCACCACTGAGCCATACTAGTCATCATACCTGTTAACTAGTAAACATCGAAATCCCACACTAGTCGACTTGTGCAAAAATGCTCAACTTGAACGCCAATTTTAAATAGAAACCGTAGCTTTTCTTCTGCAGCTTAATCCTTGTTTAGATTATTTTTTTTATTTTGTCTGATCTTCATGACTTTGCAGCGAGTACCTTTAATTTGTTTTGCTTCTACATCTGTAAACACTGAGGAAAAAACAAAACATCTTTCCACCTTAAACTAAACCTGGTGTATCCTGTTAGTGGTCTGTAAAAAACTGTATATGTGTTAAATCTTTATATAAATGTTTTAAACGTTTAGATAAAGGTCATGTGTATCATGACATGTGATGTCAACAGTCCTCTCTGTGTATGCTATTAAAAAGAATATATTTGATTAAAGACATTTTCTAAAAATCTCGAAGGTTCTGTAACTCGAAGACATTGAAAAAAATGCTGTGTTGTGTAAAACAAACCACCGAACCAAAGAAATAAATGGTATTAAAAAAGAAATTCGTCTCTGAATGGATTTATGAACAAATCATTGTTACAGAAAGTAGCTATGTTTTTGCCTGTGCCTACGTGTTAGCAAAATATCTTTCTGGATGGATAGTGAAGTATTTTGTAAAATGTTGTGTGTTGTTCTCCAGTTTGTCCAGCAGGTGGCAGCCAAGCGGCGCCTTTTCAACCGGTTGCCGTTGAAATCAGTGAAGAAGATTTGCTCGCGCAGTAGTAAGAGGTTTATCGCCTCCCTCCGCTGCGGTGGTTATCGCGGGACTGGAATCGAGCCGGGAAACMGTGTCGGGAGTGAGGCTTGGGAGGAGGTGGAGAGACTCGTTCGCTTCGGCGGATAATCCCACAATGGACGACAGCTCCGTCCGCAGGGAGGCATGCCGTCCGAGGAGGGCGTCTGCCGCCGCCGAGCAGGGAGCTGACAACGTTAGCTCGGCCATGGTAACGCCTGTCCGAAAATACCTTCCTGTCGCGGGCAGAATGAGCTCTGTCGCGGGGAGGATGGAGCGGAGGCACACGACACCGCAAGTGGTCCACCAGCGGCATATGCCGATGGAGCCAAAAAAATTCCATATCCCGAGAAAAACGAAAGAAAAGAAAGGTGAGAAGCTCAGTAATTATTGTATTTTTGTTGTTTAAGTCAAAGACTTTGTCGAGCTGTGTTAGAGTTCAAATATCGGACAAATGAAGATCCATCGGACGGCTTCATGCTAGCTTAGCGATAGGCTACAAAATACACACATAACAATAATAATAATAATTGTTATTAGTAATGTAATATGCGTATAATTGTGTAGCTTTTAATAAAAGCTGTGYTTAGTTAAAACAGCGGGCGACCTATGTTCAAACTGCAATGTTTTCAAACTAGCATCATAACATTAGCATACGCTAATAGTTAGCATCTTGCTAGTTAACGTTTATTACGAGCTTGTTAGTTATTTTGTAACGTTCATGTTCAGTTACCAGTTTACTGTGGTTTGTTTTGTAGTTTAKATTAGGATTTGACTTTATAATTTGTTAATGTAAAAAGATATTTAGCTGTTAGCTTGTAGCTTGTGATAGCAAGGTACTCGCCTCTTCCTTGTTTACAATTTATTTTTGTGAACACATGATGAGCACTTACACGTGCTTACTGCTCTGTTTTTGGTTTGAAATMACACTAAAATAAGTAAATATAAAGTGATGTTATTTGTTGTACTCTTCAAAGCTGACGTTGTTTCATTGTGATTTTAGATTAACCTTTTGTGTTGCATTTATTTGTTGAGGCTGAAAAAGTTGTAAGTTCTTAGTGTYAGACTGTTTTTATGTAGTTTTTGACCCCAACCAGCTCCAGTCCTCTGGGGTGACAGCTCCTACAATAAATAACAAAAAACTTCATACCACACTGCTGAGGTCATGATGAAAACCTGGCTTACTTTTTATTCTCATYCATTTAAAACACGTTTTTGTGACCCTTCACAGGGGAAATGCTACTGTTTTCTAAGTTATTATTGTTTTGTATTTCCTTCCTAAAGTTGCTGCCGAACATAAATATTCATTTATTGTTAAGAAGTGCCCAAATCCTTTGCTTCGACTCTAAGGACCCTTTGTTTCTTTACATATTTTTGTATTTCTTTATGAACATGCGCTGCTAAAAGCAGGTAATGAGCTTCTGTTAAATTTCTAGTATTACATGTGGTTACACCATCTCTCTGAGGGGTTCAGAGCCCAGCTGAGCCCTGCCACACCTACAGGAGGTTCTGGGGCCTCCTGAGGATGTAGTGCCAGTTCATTTTTGGAGATTCTTATCAAGACAAAAAGCACAAAAGAATCTACTTTATTGGTTCATATTTCTCTCTTATATGTGGATTRGTGTGTAGAAAACTACAGATTTAAGGTTATTTCAATGTTTTGTGTTTAAAGTGTTGTCAGCGTTTAATGATTTGACCTCAAGTGGAAATAGCACAAATTTTTCTTGCATGGTTAGCAAAAGTCCTAAAAGTCTTTCAGCACCATGTTGAGCCAAGTTCAGGTCATCGTTTTTAAAAAACAAACTTGTTAAACTCAGAATTGACAGAAAAGATTGTGCATCACCCATAAAATGCTTCATTCGAACGTCTTTATTGAAAGTTTTTTTCTTACACACTCAAACATTAGTGATGAATAGTGACAATGACACTTATTTTTCTTATTTTTAGCCCTGTTCCAGTTTGTCTCCACTGAGTCCAGGGAATATGAAGACATGAAGACCATTCTGCTCTCCGGCTACATCGACACCAACTCTGCTGGCTGCTTTACCTACAGCAACCCTCATCTCGTTCACAGCGAACTCCTGGAGAAAGAGGTGAAGGTTTTTATCTGTTGAAAATCAACAATGATTCATCTGAACGTTACAACTCCACTTCCAGCTGTTATAACCATCCAGGCAGACAACGTTACTATGAAACCTGCAAGCTTACCAGCTGAATAATAATAATACATCAAACTTATATAGCGCTTTTTAGGACACTCAAAAACGCTTTCCAAGTGGGGGGAGAAAAAAAAGTCAGGATGGGAAGGCCTGATTGAATAAGTGAGTTTTGAGTATTGATCTGAAGAGAGGTAGAGAGTCAGAGTTCCTGATTTTTTGAGGAAGAGCATTCCAGAGGAGTGGGGCTCGGTCAAAAGCCAGCGTCCTCTCCCATCAACTCACTTTATTATATTTATATATTGGATTTTTACTTAAAAAAAACAAAGTGGAGTGAGGCCGCTCAGGCCCCATAAGAACTCGGGGCACTTTTAAAAGCTGTGTGTCTCCAAGGAGCCCCTAGTTTCCTCTGTCTCTCCTCTCTGAGGCTTTAGAAACAAACTAAAACCCCTCGTCAGCTGGGGTCTTTGTGTTTTCCTGTAGCCAGGCAGAAAACAATCGGTCCYTTTCTTTTAACACACTTTTTCTGTCAGTGTTGTAAGGAGCTGAGACACCCGGGACAGATCACCAACTACCTTAATCTGCTTTATGTAATCTACTGTCTGATATTGAAGGAAACACATGGAAACACACAAAAAATATACACTTTGCAGACTCCTCAGAGTTCAAGGTCTGTTCTTATCTCTGCATGACTCGTTCTGTTGCAGCAGAGGATTTATGTCTCCTCCCATGCAGGAAAGGCTTACTTGGATAATGGGGGGTTCTGATCGCAGGTCTGGAGGGGAGCTGGTTTGGGGTCAGACTGGTGTTGCACAATACATAGAAAATTTGTTATGGCAATAAAAGCTTGTGCAATATGCATATCACAAAAAATTGCATGAACTGCAACAGATGGTTGGATTAAAGTTTGTATTTATGAGTTTTGTCTCAGATGGAAGCTTGAAGTTTTTCACCAATCAAATGAAGCCTTCATATGTTTGGCCAATGGATGGATCTCTTCATAAAAAAAAAATGCTTGAATGGAAATGATTAGTTTTTTTTTTTTTTGCTCTGAACCCAGAACAGAAAGGCACCAACACAACATACTTGTGTATTTGTGTATAAGCACAATAATCGCACATCGCAGGTTTTCCTCATATCGTGCAGCCCTTGGTCAGACTGTGGCTGATGACATCATCAGAGGAAGGTTTGCCTCTGTRGATGACGTCAGATGAAATCTGCTCCCCAAAGGTGCAACATCCTTTAGTTTCAGGGCGAAATCTGATTGAGAACTTCAGGAAAATAAACTCAGAAACTGTGGAACTCCGTTCATTTTAGAGCCTTATTAGAGTTTGATGAATTGAACGTTTTGTCTTATTAATAATTTGTTGTKTTGTGTGTTTCAGTTTGTGGAAAAGAGGAAGGAAATGAAGGCCGATGGGAGAACGGATAAGGAGTTGGAGGAGAGTTATTGTTTCTTGCTCACCACATCAGCCCAGGTCAGTACCTTTGCTTCGAAGAATTGTTTTAAGTCTTGGCTTTCAGTTGATTTGCTTACTTGAGGTAATTTTTTTTCTGCATATGACACTTTTGTAAAATTTTTAAATGCCTATAGTATTATACAGTTATCCTTAGAGATTTAACGTCACGGTTGTGTTTTTGTTTTCCCGCTGCAGCTTCCTGTTCTGTGTGAGAAAGGTTTGACTGTGGGTCAGAGCAGGATCACTATGCTGGGAGATCCTAAGAAAGGTACAAATGAGCAAATCAGTTTAAGTTAAGTGGGAGTCAAACGTTACTTATTCTGTTTTTAAAGAAGAATCAAACATGATTTAAGTCATTTTAAACCACAGAAGTCATCATTTTTKCCACTAAACGTAAAGATTTACCTGGAGCTACTAATTAACCCAACCWGAAGAATGCTAGTTCATATCATATATTAATGATTTAATTAGTTTACAGTTACTTCCACTCATGTCTGACAAT